GTTAAGATAGAGGAGAATGTCGACTTCAACACGACTTCAACATACTTCACTGGTGGAACAATAATGGTCCTCGATTTCCAATACTTCACTGGTGGTAAAGATATTTTGGCAATTCCTGTATCTACTGTAGCATCTGAGTCGGCTTTCAGTACTAGAGGACATGTAGTCGACTGCTATCATTATTTATTGGCTCCCAAAACAGTAGAGGCTCTTATATGCACTCAAAATTGATTAAATTCTGATTCGATAAATCTCAAAGTTCACGATCACTTGGATGATTGATTCTACCTTTTTTTTTCCTAAATATCTCTTCTTTTTTTATCCTAACTATTCTCTCTACTTTTGTTCATCCTCTAATTTTGTAGGATTCAGAGATGTCATGAACGACGAAGAAAGAGACTTAGACCAGCTTCAAGATTTTGCAAAGATATCAATTTGTTAATGTATTTAGTTTGTTGAACATTGTATTTGGATTTATATGTTTTATATTTTCCATTTAGACTTTTGTTGTGTTTGTATTTGGACTTTGGTTCAAAATTTAAAATGGTATTTTGGTAAAATTAAGTTTTTGCTACTTTACATGTCTGGTTTAAGATCCATGAAAAAGACAAATTAATCATTTGATGATAAAAAAATGTTCAGAAAAAAATGATATAGAAAACTAAGCATGGTCAGGCTATAAAACTTCAGTTAAAAAATAAATCGTGGTTTCAAAATTCATTATATAAGAATTAAAAGAGAAACAATGCGTACTACAAAAAAAAAAAAAACAATGCTAATACTTACTTATTAATGATTTCAGATTTTTTGAACGCCTTATACTCACAACATTATGACTCTATTACCTGAATATTGTCATAATGGATGATATATTTGGTTGACTTCAAGCCATCTTATATGTTTTCATATTATTGAGTGGCATCTACCAACTTGAGTGTTGCGACAATTTGGATTTCTACAAAATAACCATCATACTGCAATACTGACACAAGTTTACATCAGATCGACTTACGAGAAAAACACGATCATGATTGGCAACGTTAACATGCAGTATATATATCATTATGGCGTCAACGTCATGATCGGTGTGCATTAAGTGATGCGACAGATGTGCCGGCTGTGTTGGATGATTATCAACATTGGTATGATTCGATTACAAGAAAGTATATCACACGTGAAGCTCTTTATCATGGTTACATGGTTAGTATTATTTTTCTTATATTTTTTTAATTGCAATATTTAAATTAAATTAAATATTAATAATTATTATACCAATTACAGGATTTTTTTGTTAGCAACGTACAAGACTATGCAGTACAAGAAAATTTAGCTATATTAAAATCCATGTGTGATATTTGTATTAGCATAAGTAAATCAAATTCAGTTTATCCAAGAGTTGCTTCGAATTTCGAAATGAGGCGTCCTTGTCGTAGGCGCAACAAAGCACCAAATGAAAATGTTCAAGATGAAGTTGAAGCACAAGAAGCTGATGAAGAAGATAGATTGTTTATGCGAGAAATCGCACAATGTCAATCTAGCTCGAACTCGGTCCTTGCTTCGACCTAAAACGTTAAGGGAAGACCTGCACGGACAAAATCAAGCGACTCGGACTCAATATTAAGTTTGAGGAGAAATTCGATACCTGATGGTAAAATGAGGCCCTCTATTTATAGGTTTAGGTTCCGACAGGGGTTACGACATGTGGTTACCTTGGTCGGATTAGAGGTCTGTAACGCCCCGTGTTACTCAGGTTAGCTTGCCCCGAGTTCCGGAAAATTTTATAACAAAATGGATTTTTATTTATTGTTTTATTGATTTATTTCATTGTTATTTTTAATTGATTCATCAGTGATCTTATTTAATTTAAGTGTGACATCTCGACTAGTGTGTATTGTTACAGTTTTAGTGGTGAGTTAGTAGCGTGTAGTTATTTATCAAGTTACATTTAGTACGGAATTCCATTATGCGACACTTGTTTGGATCATTGGGCCAATTACGAAACTCTATTGTTGGTTTGTTTTAACACGGAAGGATTGGGTAAGTGGGCCTTAAACATAAGGAAAAGAACCCAAGCCCAAAGGAGTAAAAGTTTGAAACAAGAAAAGGGAACCCTAGCCACTTGTTCTCCTTTTCCCCTTTTCCTCTTTTGTTGAAGCCGTCGGCCACCCCCCTCCACCCGG